GTTATATGCTAAATAATATACCCTGCGGCTGAATAGTTCCAAATTGAAAGTTGGATGGTTACTGGTTGATTAAATGAAAGAGAGTTCAGGCTTTAGAGGCTATCGCAACATACGGAAGCATCTTTTAGGACTAAGCCTAAGAGGGAACAGAAGTTCCGCGAGAAGGGAAAATTCCCGTTTTCAACAGAAAAAAGCATGTTTTACGCAATTTTGAATGCACTGATACCACAATGCCCCCGTATATTGCGATAGCCCCTAAACAATCCTTGACTAGCTAATAATTAACACGGTTAAATAAACAAAATTATATCTTGTTCCATTAGATTTCCCGGTCAGTTTGGATGTGATTACTAACCTAACCATACCTATAGATCAATAATTGATTAATCCATTGGATCACATCTCAGTGGATGTCATTTTTTAGAATCCATGTGATAATGTGACATGCTTGCATGGTGGCACCTGCTATGTCTACGACGATGAGGCATTTTGTAATTGTACGGCAGACTACACTGGAACACGCTGTGAAACTTTTCTGGTTAAGTCTTGCACCTCAGCCGGTCACATAAACCCTTATTAGATATAACTTAGGTTATATGCTAAATAATATACCCTGCGATGAATAGTTTCCAAATTGAAAGTTGGATGGTTACTGGTTGATTAAATGAAAGAGAGTTAAGGCTTTAGAGGCTATCGCAACATACGGAAGCATCTTTTAGGACTAAGCCTAAGAGGGAACAGAAGTTCCGCGAGAAGGGAAAATTCCCGTTTTCAACAGAAAAAAGCATGTTTTACGCAATTTTGAATGCACTGATACCACAATGCCCCCGTATATTGCGATAGCCCCTAAACAATCATTGACTAGCTAATAATTAACACGGTTAAATAAACAAAATTATATCTTGTTCCATTAGATTTCCCGGTCAGTTTGGATGTGATTACTAACCTAACCATACCTATAGATCATAATTGATTAATCCATTGGATCACATCTCAGTGGATGTCATTTTTTAGAATCCATGTGATAATGTGACATGCTTGCATGGTGGCACCTGCTATGTCTACGACTATGAGGCATTTTGTAATTGTACGGCAGACTACACTGGAACACGCTGTGAAACTTTTCTGGTTAAGTCTTTCACCTCAGCCCGTCACTGAACCCTTATTAGCTATAACTTAGGTTATAAACTGAATGGTAAACCCTAAAACTGTACAGCTTCGGCTGTTGCGTTGCAAAATGGAAGTTGGACGATCATTGATGAAAGAGCATTACTAACAGCTCTTAAGACACTATATATGGGAGCATCTTCTAGGACTAAGCCTAGGAAAGGGAAAACTCCGCGGGAAGGGTAAATGGTCTACTCACTTTAGAGTCTCTCCCCCCTCGCCTCACAAGGTAAAGTCCCCGAGTCGCTGTCGCCATTCGAGATGAGATGTAAACTCACGATGCTTCTTGGAACGCTGATCTCGAATCTGACTCCCAAATCTGCTAAACAAATTGGAGAGAGAAGTTAGGGAGTGGTTTCAACACTGAAGTCCTGTCAACGGCATTAACAACCACGTGGTCGTGGGTCGGTGGCCTTCTCTTGCCTACTTGAATTGCTCTCTAGAAAGGAACTCTCTTCTTGCCTAAACGCCTACGAAGGCGCACGTAACCTTTCCATGCGCTCAAAATTTAAGACTAAGTAATTCAAGATCTTTGGCGGATCGCTAGATGGCAACATCTTTGGGTGACTCTAGGATTTCGAAATCTTCGGTCACTCCTCCGGCGGTTAATCAGTTGGTTGCGAGGTTCTGAGTCGGATTCCCACCGAGATGTTCTGCTCAGAGCTCGTCGTGCCGCATGTGATAAAGGAATTCGTCGCTTGTGACGTCACACGGACACCGTCCAGGAAGGAGAGTAAGATAGTAAAGAGCTTTGTCTATATTTCGCGTGACGTCATGCACGACAACCTCACTGTCGGCTTCGAGGAAGATTTCTGATTAGGAGAACCGCACTAATTTCCTTTAGAAAACTGAGAACGACGACGACGATGCTCAACAAGTGTTTCTGAAGCATGATAGTGATATATGGTCAAAAATCATTCAGATTAGTATTGAAAACGAAACAATTGTTGCATAAGTCACAGTAGAAGTTTTTCCAAAAACACTAGCGCAGAAAAAGATCATTAGAGGTTGAGAACAGTTAAAGTGACACGCGGAACTGTTTTGCAAATGTTCAACAAGTTTTAAGACAAATGCAAAAGCAACAAGTCCATCAAGGATCCGAACCTTGGTGCGGCTCCTGTGAGCCCAATACTTTCCCGACTGCGCCACCGAGGCACGTCCCCGTGGTTGTTGAGTGTCATACAGGAAGTGGTCACGATAATTCTCATAGGGACGATAAGGAAAGCTGTGTACTGGAGTGGATAGGGGTCCTGCCCAATGTTAGAACACGTGAAGTTTCAGTGGCATCAGTGATAAGGCGCCGAAATCCACTTCCGTTCAGCAAAAACCAAGACTTATCGATGTGGAAAGGGGTGCGATAAGAGCGTGCTAGATATGATACCGTTATCGTTATCGTCCCGTTTTCATTCTGGAGTGCACCTCTTATCAAGCAGCCGCACCTTCTTATCTCATCGTATCATATCTTCCATGGGCTTACACTCGTCCAACAATTACTGCCTCACACCTTATCGATTGATAACGCGAGGGTAGCAAATCCAGCGTGGAAGCCAGCGTGATCGCTTCCTTTAAGAACAGGACTTAAGTGGTGAAAGCACCCTACCTCTAACTTCTCTCTCGGAATCGTTTAGCAGATTTGGAAGACAGGATTCGAGATCAGCGTTCCAAGACGCATACGTGAGTATACATCTCATCTCGAATGGCCATGGCGACCCGGGGGACTTTCCTTGTGAGACCTAATCCCGTATTCAACAGAAAAAAGCATGTTTCACGCAGTTTTGAATGCACTGATACCACAATGCCCCCGTATATTGCGATAGCCCCTAAACAATCATTGACTAGCTAATAATTAACACGATTAAATAAACAAAATTATATCTTGTTCCATTAGATTTCCCGGTCAGTTTGGATGTGATTACTAACCTAACCATACCTATAGATCAATAATTGATTAATCCATTGGATCACATCTCAGTGGATGTCATTTTTTAGAATCCATGTGATAATGTGACATGCTTGCATGGTGGCACCTGCTATGTCTACGACGATGAGGCATTTTGTAATTGTACGGCAGACTACACTGGAACACGCTGTGAAACTTTTCTGGTTAAGTCTTGCACCTCAGCCGGTCACATAAACCCTTATTAGATATAACTTAGGTTATATGCTAGGTAATATACCCTGCGGCTGAATAGTTCCAAATTGAAAGTTGGATGGTTACTGGTTGATTAAATGAAAGAGAGTTGCTAAGGCTTTAGAGGCGCTATCGCAACATACGGAAGCATCTTTTAGGACTAAGCCTAAGAGGGAACAGAAGTTCCGCGAGAAGGGAAAATTCCCGTTTTCAACAGAAAAAAGCATGTTTTACGCAATTTTGAATGCACTGATACCACAATGCCCCCGTATATTGCGATAGCCCCTAAACAATCCTTGACTAGCTAATAATTAACACGGTTAAATAAACAAAATTATATCTTGTTCCATTAGATTTCCCGGTCAGTTTGGATGTGATTACTAACCTAACCATACCTATAGATCAATAATTGATTAATCCATTGGATCACATCTCAGTGGATGTCATTTTTTAGAATCCATGTGATAATGTGACATGCTTGCATGGTGGCACCTGCTATGTCTACGACGATGAGGCATTTTGTAATTGTACGGCAGACTACACTGGAACACGCTGTGAAACTTTTCTGGTTAAGTCTTGCACCTCAGCCGGTCACATAAACCCTTATTAGATATAACTTAGGTTATATGCTAAATAATATACCCTGCGATGACTAGTTTCGAACTGAAAAATGGATGGTAAATGGTCGATTAAATGAAAGAGAGTTGCTAAGGCTTTAGAGGCGCTATCGCAACATACGGAAGCATCTTTTAGGACTAAGCCTAAGAGGGAACAGAAGTTCCGCGAGAAGGGAAAATTCCCGTTTTCAACAGAAAAAAGCATGTTTTACGCAATTTTGAATGCACTGATACCACAATGCCCCCGTATATTGCGATAGCCCCTGAAACAATCATTGACTAGCTAATAATTAACACGGTTAAATAAACAAAATTATATCTTGTTCCATTAGATTTCCCGGTCAGTTTGGATGTGATTACTAACCTAACCATACCTATAGATCAATAATTGATTAATCCATTGGATCACATCTCAGTGGATGTCATTTTTTAGAATCCATGTGATAATGTGACATGCTTGCATGGTGGCACCTGCTATGTCTACGACGATGAGGCATTTTGTAATTGTACGGCAGACTACACTGGAACACGCTGTGAAACTTTTCTGGTTAAGTCTTGCACCTCAGCCGGTCACATAAACCCTTATTAGATATAACTTAGGTTATATGCTAGGTAATATACCCTGCGACTGAATAGTTCCAAATTGAAAGTTGGATGGTTACTGGTTGATTAAATGAAAGAGAGTTAAGGCTTTAGAGGCGCTATCGCAACATACGGAAGCATCTTTTAGGACTAAGCCTAAACGGGAACAGAAGCTCCGCGAGAAGGGGAATGGTCC